CTGTAGGAAGCCTGTAGGTGACTGAGAATCTTCACCAGCATGTATTTAGAAATCACATTTTATTAAACTGGGCCTGAAAGGTTTTTAAGGTGGAGTTTAACTCATGGCTGGTACAAAATGTTCAGTTACAGACAGGATCTGTCTAACAGAAGTCAGGAGAAAAAAAATAAGTCGAAAATGTTGACCAAGCAAAAATAAAAACCCCGCTGCCTGTTGGCCAACAGTTTTGATCTAAGATCAAACGCTGAGTTTCCACTTTATTGAGACGTTGGTTTCTGCAGGATTATGTTTGGGTGACGTTAAAATCAGTCTCCCAGCTGAAGGTTTGGATTGCTGAGATATTCGTAACTAAACATATGTCAGCATGAACCGATTTATCAAAGGTTAGTGTTTGAAATGTCTGTTAGATTATTTAGTCAGACTGAAAAGGGCTGATTCTGATAAGAAAACATGCTGGAGCAGGCGTGTTGTTACCTCTCTGCAGTTACTGACATAAAGCGGAGTCTTTTTCCCGACACTGGGGCAAATTATTGCAGCTATTCATCCTAACTGGTGTCTGTAAGTGCTGCTTTTTTATCTTCCCCACAGGACACTACAGGAATCCTCTGAACAAGTATATCCGCCATTATGAAGGCCTGTCCTACGACACAGAGCTCGTTCACAGCAAGCATCAAAGGGTGAAGCGGGCCCTCTCCCATGAAGACAGGTTCCTTCATCTAGACTTTCATGCCCATGGAAGGTTTGTTCACCTCTTTACTTGTGACCTACACTGATTTTTTGTAGCCAGTTTGGATTAGGATTTATACTAAAACTAAACTAGATTTCGTTTTCTTTCTTCGCCTGTGTTTTTGTTTTTCTTTTACTGTACGTCTTGGGTTTTTCTTGTGCAGTTTCTTTGACTTTAGTTGGAGCCAGATGATTCACCACTTGGTTAAAAGCCGGATAATAACAAGCTTTTTTAAACTTTAACCTTTTGTTTTTTTCCTCATATGCTGCTTTTTTTTTCTTTCCACATGACAATTAAAATACTAAAAGCTCAATGCACACCCGGAGGTGATTGTGGAGGCATTTGCGTTAAGATCTAATAAAGATATAAAAATCAACAAATAGGAAAATGTTGTCCCTATTTTTGAGGACGTGTTGTTTAGTTGGGTGGAAACTAAGAGTCTAAACTCTATCACAAAGTCGCCTCCATCTGCCTTGAATCTTGGCAGGGACTGTTTATCATCCTGGCTGCAGCAGAACTCGCTGTTCCTAAACCCTGACGCTGCTTAATGAGGAACAACAGAGCAAGATAAAAAGCTGTGCAAAAACACTGACATAAAAGACACTTTTATTTTTTGTTTGGACATGCCTTTTTTTTTTTTTGTACATATTTTTTCTTCTACCTTTCAGTTTCCCTACAGATTGACGCCTTTATCTTTCAGCCAAACAATCATAGTTTCCATTCCAGATTGGAGAGCTTCCTGAGTAGCGCTTGCAGGATGTAAGACAGGGTGCAAATGTTTATTGCGGAAATTAGGGGGTTTGTTTACAGAATATCCAGGATAGCGTGTTGCCTCACTTAAGGCTTGGCGATATAGAAAAATATCACGATATATTTGGGCTATATTGCGATACACGGCATAAATCACGATATGTTTAAATTACCTTCAAAAACAATAGAGTGCATTAAATTGTGTTGATATTTTCATTCAAACTTTTGGTTTTAACTTGAAAACATTTTATTTAACCATCTCAAAGCTTTTCTGCCACATGATGTCTTTTGGTGTCAGCATTAACAAGATCCCAGCAACCAAACAGGAAACGAAGCAAAAACACACAAAATACTAAATAAAATGCAAATTTTAAAAAGGGCTCTTTTGTGCATAATAAAAAAAATGCTGAATAAAATAAGAAATTGAATCAAATTACAAAAACAAAAGTGGAAATAAGAGCTTTATCTCCAATCTATTAGCATGGAGCTTTACCTGCTGGGAATTTTAAAGAAGCTCAAAGTTGTAAAGTTGAGAACATTTCCAAGTTTAGAGAACACCTGTAAAAACTCTGAACATCACATCATAGAGCCTCTAAAAAACATTGAAATAAAGTAAAAAAATAACCTCTGTGATTTCCTTCCATCTCGTCCCGTTTCTCTCATATGGGATTGCTTTTTCAAACGACGAGGCCAAAATCATCGTCCTCACAGCTGATTAATTGAACCTTCTAATTGGTGAGCCGGGAGACGCTGACATGAAGATTCTTCATTTTGCAGCGGATTACTTTTTAGATGGTGGAATAAATTACCGTAAATTCTCTAATATTGGCCTGTATTCCAATAGCGGCCGGGTCTCTAATATTGGCCGGTCTCGCTGTCAGAGGAGGTAAATAATGGCCGGTCTCTAATACAGGCCGGGGCTATAAACGTTTTTTCTGGGCATACCTCAACATTATACTTGTGGTAGTA